ATAGGCAGCATCATGAGCTCACAAGGTGCTTTCTTCTTTGCTCACCAGTTCAGCCCTTTCTCAGACAAAGTAATGCATTTGTACAGCATGCTGCTACCTACAATCGAACATTGTACACTGCTGTGCAACTATCATAATCTATCACATCATGCTCTGACCATCAAAGGGCATTTAGCAGCTTCAGGCACCACCCCCACTGCCCCCCTTTTACATTTTTTCTCCTCTCCAAGGAGAGGCCTGGCTTACCTCCTGCTTCCTTCTCACCTTCCTCCTTCGCAACTCCCAGTGGCCACCTTACCTTCCAGCAGCCCGGAGCCATGCAGCCCCCGCACCACGAGGGGGGCTGAGCAGCTGGATCCTACTTCATACACCCCCACAAGCAGCTCCAGTCCTCTTCCCCTGCAGATGCTTCCCATCACACGCTGCTCAGGCCATCTTCCTAATCACACAGCCTCCCAAATGGACATGATGACCAGTAAGTGTAGCACACTGAACTGTTTCTTGGTGCAAAAGATGTAGAACAAACTCTTCCAGGAGCAAAGACAGACTGCTATAGACACAGCTGCCTTCCAACTGGGTTTCACTTCTTCATCTTAGAAAACTGGAGAAGTTTCCTTGCATTTGAGGGTAAAGCTGCCCGACTGGAACTGAACTATTTTCCAGGTGCTGCACTAGTTTCTGATAGAGGAACTCTCAGAAGTGCCACAGCAGGGGACAGGAGAAGACACAAACAATAAAGAAATCATGGAAAGGACAGAGGAATGAATACAGGGGAGCTTGTGAGATACTTGGAAAGAGAAAGCACTGCGGGAGAGACTTCACTGCTCAGGGCTGAGCACAAGTGCCAGGGGAAAAGCCAGCTGAGCCATCCCTCAGAAGTGCTGGAGGAGAAATTGCTAGGGTGACAGCAGAAAGCCTAAATCTGCAGCATCTGGGCCCTAGCAGACACTGTGTCAAGGTGGCTCAGGGGACCTAATGTTCCAGGCCCACGTGCAGCAGCCTTTGAGGACAGAAACCACTGCTTTGTCTGACTGGATGTATACCTGTCAAAGGCATAAGTGCCAGCAACGCAGCCTGCTAAGCCCCACAACAACAAAATGCAGCCAAACTAGACACCCCCCAGCACATGACTGGGGGACAGCCATCTGACTAATGCAACTAGATTTCTGTATGTTTGGGTTGTTGGGGTTTTTTATGCATCTGTCAGAAACCCATTTAGTCAAGGCCCATTTGAGCTAGGAGACAGTGGACTGTGAACAGAGAAAGTGGTGAGAAATGGGTGACTCACGTGAGGCCTCCCAGATGAAGCCATCACCATTCTGGAAAGACTTTAGAGGAGAGGAGCTATTTTATCCCCTTCCAGCAAACCCGCCTGGCAATGCAACCCCACTCCAGAACAGCAGAGCAGGAGTAACAGAAACCAAGCTCCCAAACCCAGCCACCTCCCATACCAGCACCCTTTCAACTCTGCTCTCCCCAGAGCCTTTCCAGGCACATGGCAGTGTTGTTCCACAGGGAAACAAACACAGCTGCCAGCTCTGCCCAGCCATGCTCTTACAGGTTAAAAGAAGATGCCAACAAAAGCTGTTTATGATGAACTTCACAGAGTGAACTGTTTCAGAAACAGACGCTTAACCTGTTTCTGGCCCTATCCTAAGCTTCCCGCTTTAAGAACAGGCCTTGTTTATATTATTTAGCACCAAAGTAAAGTACCCAAGCCCAGTGAGGCTTGTAAACATATAAGAAACTATCTTATATATACCAATACCAAGATAAGTCAATATAGAATCACCACTTACTACCTATAACTAGGTGATTACTATGAAAATTTACTTTGAATCGGTTCTTATCAGTTACCATACAATAACATGCTGCCTCTTCTAGTCTCTGCATTTCAAGTGATTCACACTGTAAAAATAGAATACTTTCCCCCAAAAGACATTCAAATTAAAGTCTGCCTGGTCTTCTTTCTGCTGGGTAGTAATTATCTATTTTATTTAATTACATGGCTCCATTCTTTGCACTCTCTACTGCAGAGAAAGATGCTTTTTCAGATGAAATGATCCTCAGATACCTCAAAAACTAGGGCCACTGATTACTGTTTCTACAGCTTCAGAATGAATGGCACTGCAGTCTGAAAATGACTGATAAGAAGAATTACAGGAGTTTAAACAAGAGCCATATTTCTTCCTTTATGGCTTTGTATTTCTAATTTTCTCTCACAAAATAACTCCTTTATTCAACAGGCTCCTTCCTGCTGTCCTAAATGAGAATTTGCACACTTGTCTGAGGACTGTAACAGAAGAGATGTTGCTTTCTGTTCTGCAGTTTCACTGTAGGCATTGTCCAGGTCACAAACAGTGTTGCTAGACTGAAAAGATATATCCGGTGTTTGTTACTGCTTTTTCATTATGAATTCCTGGAATTAATTAGCTTGTTGTATGTTTTTAATTATATTAAATCTCCACTGCAAAGACAGAGAGATTTTAAATGAGATTAAGTTTGCAAGATCCTGAGTTCCTGTAGATGACTCCGCCATGGATGCATCTCATCTTTGAAAATTAGATGTTTGACATACTTGAAAATATTGTACTGATACAGGCTGATAAAATGATTTTGTGAATGCTCTTATTAAAAGCATAATTGTTCACATTTGAAAGAATGATATTATGCTTAACGTAACTAAGGCAGGGTTGTATCTAGTTCTCTTGATAGGGCATTAGTCTATCTATCATAATGCCTGGATGGATTAATCATACTGTAAGAACTGTCCTTCCTGAACAACTTCCTTATGCAGTTTCCAAAACTCGGGAACTGAGAAAGTTGAAATTAACAGCTGTGCTAATTAACTGCTAGAAAATAATTTCAACAAAGTAAGCAGATGCTATAATGCTACTGACACAAATGTACCAGTGGGCCCTGTAAAACTCATCTTGAGAAAATGAGTTGCTAGCCACAAGACACCTGGCTGCAAATACTGGCAGGCATGCTTCCCATAGCAACAGTTTCAGTAACATGACCTTTGTATTACCCAGTTTCATGCTGTGTCATTTATCTGAATTGAAAGAATGCAAGTACTCCTATCCTCAGTACAGCTCAAAAAGGACTGGTCCATTACCTGACATATAAGAAATGCTTTATGGACCATGTTGTTCCCTCTTGAGGTCGCAAGTCTCATTACAGATAGAGCTGGTTTGATACCAAAACAGAATTTGCATACATATTCTCACCAATACATGCTGTTGCAAACAGGAACCTACTTTCTGCTAATCTTGATGTTAGACTAGATATTTTGAGATGGTGTCAGAGTTGTAAGTAAAGTTATCTTTTCAATAGACCCAACTCCATCATCCCAAAAATACACTGATGCTGGTAACCAATCTCTCCAACAGAAAAGAAGTAACGTAATCTCCTGAAAAACAGGATTCACGGATTATTTCTAAAGTACAGGGCAAACAAAGCAATAAGCTAAAATCTTCCACTGGCTAAATCTGCACTGCAAGCTGCTTTCTTTTTGCACTGGTTCTGGCAAATTCTGTAAACCAGACATGACTACAGCAAACCCGGTAATTTTTATCTAAAGGATATTCATCTGCTAATTGTATGCCATCATGCAAGCAAATTTTGGGATTTACTTCTGCCCCAGAAGCACAAACCTTACATTGTGGGTGACATGAAATAAGCAGTACACATTTATACTGAAGATGCATGAACTGGAGGATGGTGACAGCCACTGTGCTAGTGTTTCAGGAGCCAGTGTCAGCTGTCCCCTAGCCCATACTGCTGGCTCTGGAAGCCTGCAGCAAGCAGCAAATTCAATTTTAGCCTACGTCTCCCTGTGTGCTTAGATTAATTTAGGTTTCAGCTATAAAAATGAAACCAACCAGCTTCATAAAGGTTTTAACACCTGTCATTATCTCCTAACTAGCTGCCACAGACATGCTTGACCACCTCAGTGGAGATCAGGAGGGGAAGGGCCAGATTCACATTTTGAGCAAACAAGTTAAATCTTCTAATTTTTGTTGCAAAAAAACAATTTTCATCAATTGAAAACATCTGCTTAAGAGCACAATCAAGAGGGAAAGAGAAGGCGGCCCGGGCCATTCCCTTAAGTCTCTGAGGGCTGCCAGAGGTAGATCAGAAAGAAGACCACTCTCCTCCTCCAGATGACCACACACGCACAGCACAAAAGGGGAAAACCTGCACATGGAACAGGTTCTCCCTGTGGCTCACTAGCATGTACAGAAAGCCAAGTATTTCTCTAACTTGGGCTGTCCAGCATTGGTTTACTAACAGTCATTTAATCTCTGTTAAATCCATGGGTTTAAGCAGAAACACCAAATCTCTAGAACCAATTCATCTTTTCTGGCAAAGCACAGCTGATTCTTGGACAGTGAGAAGAGAAGCTTACTGGGCTGTGTAACTGCAGCTGAACAATAGGGTGTCTACAGGAAGAGTTTATCATTAAGGTATTGCTTGTCAAACTTACAGCCTTGGAGGATGCTACTTAGTGGGAAACACTGGAGAAATGGGTGTGTGACTGCAGGCTGTTCTTATCCCTGGGGTGGTATTTGTGCTGACAACAGCCACAAAGCCTCTGAGACCCTGAAAGAACTGCCTTCAGTCCGTGGAAAAAGTACTAAAGTAGCGAGAGGGAAACAGACTGCCTCAGTGTATTAACTTTGTTCTCTGCTGGTAACAAAGGAGAGCAGTTTTTGTTGCTGAAAAAAATTCAAACAGAGGGAAAAAACTAAGCAGCAAACAAAAGCAACACTGGTCAGCTCATTTTGGCACACATCAGGCTGCAACTGTGCTGCCAATGTCGATGTATTACATGCTGTGTAGCTATAAATTTCAGTTGTTTGAATAAACAACCAGCATATAGAACTGCTCTGGGTCTGTCTAATGCCGTCTATCTGCAGATGGAACAGAATCACTACATTTCTTCAGCTGAATGGCCCCAAAATTAAAAACTTTAGTTGCTCTCAACATACACATACCTGCAATCCCTTGTAGCAGCCCACAGACATTAAAAATGCTTTTCTTCATAATACTCTGCACACACATAGTAAAGACAGACACAAATGCCACGGCACAGAGAATCATGATTCCCACAGCTAGGAAAATAGCAGTTGCCTGCCAGAACCCACTGGCAATCTCATTGAAGTTTTCGGCGTAAGGACCACAAAGCGTGTCTCGTCTAGAAAACTGCATGTGGGAGATTCTTGTGCAGCGCCCGTAGATGCCCAGAGTTGGATAGTAAGGTTCCTGTGACCCCCCTGTTCTGTTGTCCACATCCTCGGAGCTTGAAGGCTTTGCTTTGCCGATCAGCCAGTCTGCGCTCATGAAAGCTATGAGCTCTGCAAAAGCCACCACAATACTCAGGAGAGTCCACAGCATTGACCGACACGTTACAATGACATGACACATATTGGTGTTCAGTGCCTGTGATCAGTGCAGCTGATGGTCTTAAAATCCAGGCACAAGGGTAGGAAAAAATTAAGTTAAAAAAGAAAAAAAGGACCCTAAGAAAATCCCAGTAGCTGTTCTGCCTGCTTTTTCAGCTGTCTCAGAGATGCCAAGATGATACTTCTCAGAAGAAAAAGTAAACGGCCCCAAGTTTTGCAAGCAGTGCAGTTATTTGTTCTTTCTGTTCCTCCTTTTTTCTTTCTGGGATGCTGAGCTCTGAAGTACACTCTTCTTTCTTAATATTCATACTGGCACATGATGTTGCAGGCTGGCGGGGGAGGCTGCAAGGACTGCCCACTGTTTGACATCACACACCTACAGGAAAAAAAGAGACAACACATCAGTGGTGAGAAAAAGTCTTCATTTCCACCCCCCACAAAGAGCCAAGATCTAGTGCAGATCCACATCAAAATGCAACCGCTCTAACAAGGGCTGGTTAAGGAGAGCCTGCTGGAAACCTCCTGGGTTTGTCCCAGCACAGTGATTAACCTCTGGCTGCCCAGCAGTACTTACGGTATTTGCTCTCCCCATCCCACTGCGGGTGTTTGCCAAGCACTTCTCAAGCAAAGGTCTCAGTCACACCCAGTGGTCCCACCCACTCCTACCAGCACACCATCATCTTCCTCTGGTAGAAATCACTGAGGTTGCTGGCAGCTACACTCAGCAAAATACTTCTACATGTTTAAGCAGTTTCACGGACACACAGCTCCTGCCTTCAGCTTGGGAAGGCAGCACGTCACACCTTCAGGACGGAAACCAGGCACAGCTTCGTCGGCCATGGGCACCTGGGTGCAAAGGGCAATGAGGGAACCTTGTTCCAACCTTCCAACCTTCTACTGACTGCAGCTGAGCCAGCACCATCCTCAAGAGGAGGCAAACAGGACTACAGCTGGGACAGCCCACCCTGCTATGTGGTGACACAGCCCATTGCTTTGAAGCCTGAGTTTTGCAGGAATACTGCTTCCCTGAGTTCTGTATCCAGGTTTGCACCACTGATTCAGAAAAGCATTTTGCCTGCAGGTATGTCACACAACTCATCTTGAACTGATGCTGCCACCGGCAGCCTCTGGAGACTTAACACCACCGTAAACAGGAATCTGCGGAAAAACACCTCAGTTGCTGCCAAGTGGCCAAGAGCCCCAGTAAGAGGGGCTGCCAGTCAGCCTGGAGCTTCCTGAATCCTCTGAATTCCCCCCTTCCCAGGGCTTTACCCAAGCCTTTATGCCACCTTTGAACAGTAGCTGATGATATTCCCAGAGTTACACTTATCTTAATGCAAGGGGCAATCAGAGATCACTGTACTTCCAACTTGTACCCAAATATTGGCCTCAAAATAACAAATGGGTCATTGCACACGCCTCTGTGCTTGAACTGAAACTGTCGCCTGAAAGCAAGGATGGGAGCAGGAAATGCCCTCATGTTACTCCCTCTGTGATGAGAACATAGCACTTCCAAGTTTTCCTCACAAAAAGCAAAATACCAACATTGAACTGGAGACAAGAGAGTCGAGAACCAGATCTGGACCTCACTGCTGCACTGCTGCCAAGCACAAAGGGGTCAGCAGATGCAAGGAAAACAGACATTCCCATTTTTTTTCAGCTTTGTCATGGGTTTGGTATTTATTTCTTAAGAGTCTAGAGCCCAGTGGTTGAATCCTAGTCCCACTGAATGTGAAACAAAACACACACCCACAACTTCAACACATTCAGAATTTCATCCAGCAATTTCTGCTCCCTCCTGTAGCAGTTGTACTGAATCATCCTCAAGATTTTATCCATATTTGCCTTCCTTGTCTAGATCTGCAGACTCCTTTGGTATTAGCAAACACACAGACTTAAGTTGCTCTGCAACAACTGAATTTTGTCACTCGTAGTTCAATATAATGGCATTGCCTTGAAAAAGGCAAAACATATTTAGTTGTGCTTTTAGCCACACTGAGATAACAGTTCAGCTCGGTGTCCATTCTGGGGGAGAAAAACCAGAAGATTTCAAGCAACCTGACATATCGCTGACTTGCATACACCCTTTGTAATAACAGAGAGATGAAGCATCAACCTGCCAAAAAAAGTTAATTCTCTTAGTATTTCCACTTTAAATAACAACTGGAATGTAGGAAATGTCCACTCCAGACCTACATTCTTCTAATGTGATCTGCACAACTGAAGAGAATTTAATAGAAAATGTCTTGAATTTTTTAAGAGAAATTCTGAATCTGCACAGGCAGAATCTGCATTTCTGTGCAAGTACCACACCCATATGAACTCCTCACCTTTGTACTTCAAGGTTTTTAATTAACGTGCAAGAGACATAGGACTTGAACACATATCATAGCTGTTACTGCTTACTCTTTACCTGCTGAAAAGAAAACACTATTTATTGAATTCAGATGAGAACAAAGTTTGTATTTACCTAAGTAGGTGGAAACTCCAGATGAACACTGGAAGCCATAAAGACATAGCACTGATAACAAATATGGGATGCTGTATTAGAATCAGAAAAGACCAATCCATGGGCTTCTTTTCCATATGAAATGCAAGCCCGTGAATAAATTATAGCAACATTTTAAAACAGAGTATCTTCAGAAAAGTCACTTCATAAGCAACACAGCCTGTCTAAAGATGATATGGAGGTCATGTCAAATCTCAGGACTTCACTGGAACACATACTTCCCCGTTTTGCAGCACAGGGAAAATTCACAGCACTGAAAAGTTAGTCAATGTCATCAATAACTACATTTCAATAGATTATATCTCACTTTCCAATGAAATCTTCACAATTCAGCTTTTGCCAGGTAACTATTCATTTATGATACAAAATGTATCTCCAGAGCAATGTACCTTTATTCATGGGTGAACTGCTTAAATTTATTCTTGCGCTAGTGATGCCTTCGCATAGGAGTGCAACTCATCTACAACTCCTTTTTGTGAGCAGATGATAGACAGAAATGTATGAAGTAGGATGGCAAGACCAGAAGAGGGGCAGGGGCCACACAAATACAACTCCTTTTCATGAGCAGACAGAGACAGAAAAAGTATGGCACATGGATGAGAGGAGGGGCAGGGCCACTCCTTATTTGCGAGACTTAGCAAGGAAAGACTGCAGGTAGAGTACTGAAGATAAGTTACAGTTCAGTCACACTTGTGTAGTTTACTCTTTTCTTTCCAACACACTCCACACTTGAGTTTCCAAATGAACCTATCCAGTTCTCAAGCAACTCTGACAGCATGTTTGTGCATGGAAGCCTTTCCAGCTAAATAACTGCACTTCATGAAGCTTCCCTCCAGCACTCTGCTTGACCTGTTTCTTCGATTTTTGTTCAACAGAGAAACTCAAGCTAGGCCCTTGCAAGCTTGAAAACCCTTAACAAGTTTCTCCCATGACAGAACTGTATGTTCTTCACAGCACAACACTCAATATGCACTTCTGACTGACTGTCAAAATATTTGCTTTGACAGCCCAAACTCAAAATATACAATGGTTCTTTAACCCCTTTGGTATTAACTCTTTCAAAATAGTTCTGAGGAAGCAGACTACAAAAAGTAAGCTTGCCCCTTAGTCATTTGGGCCTCCCCCTATTGCATTCAATTGTACAGGTGTGGAAGAAGGTCATCCGTGCTGTGTAAGTGGGTGCCCCAAGAGAAAAACAGCCCCGCATACAAGCACTCACATAAGCTTCAGACCACAGCAGCTCCCCAGTGTGAGAGTCTCAGCAGTACCATCCCACCCAACCATCGTTCCCCAGATGCACAGCTTCTGGACAGGTCAAAACTACATATTCAGTCTTATTTACTCTGCTCCCTGAATCATGCTCATGGGCAGGCTCTACCTCAAGTGAAGACCAATACAGTGAAAAGATGTCAGTGAGAACATTAGATCCTCACAACTTTCAGACAGAATAAAACTGAGTCCCTGAATGCAAAAATCTTTTGGTTGTTTACTCTAAGAAAACAATCTATCTTAAAATATCAGCAAAACTTTCTTCCTCTTTGACAGAAAAATTCTTACTGCCAGATACACTGTCTCAAGTTATATTTTCACATTTCTAGCTAATACTATTCAGCTGTTATCTTTTCCTACACAACACTGCTATATGCTAAGTAAATAAATAACATATATTTTTCTGAACTAGATAAAGAAACATACTTGCCTCTATTTTGCTTACACTGCCAAACCCAGGAAGTCAGAAGCTGAATAAAATTATAATATTTAAATTAACATTTTGATATTAGAGATGTAGAGCTGCAGGGTTTTCCTTTGGCGTATCAGGCATATAGGAAGGAACAGCTGCAAAGTTCAAATCTGAGTCAATCACATACCACAGCTGTTTGTTTTAAAAAGGTGTCCTACAAGCAACGTACAAGAGACCTGTGAGTACTTTCCAGAACAATGTTAGGGCCAGTCCTTCATGCTCCCTTCATGGTTTGACTGAAGATAGGCTCAGGCTAAACCCTATAATTCAGTTTTTGCCATTCCCAGCCTTGTTCTGTCAGCTCAAGACTGAGAATAAATCATCTTTTGATAAGTGGCTTTTGGCTTGTCTTAAACAAACAGCTGAATAGAAGGCCACACAGACTGCTGAAACAGTCCCAATTTGTAAAATAAATCCAGGCACAATTAGACATCTTCTTCGAAAGCTTGCTACAGTCCAAAGTACAACTACACAGAGGAGTTTCTAAACCTTGTTTACAATACACAAGCTTCAGCATCTCATAACCCAAAATGTGCAAATCTTAGAGGCCTGGGTTCTGCTTTCTCTGAAACATTGTTCGTTAGCAGTTATAAACACTGTGAAAATGCTTTGAACTGCAAGAGTGGAAGTGATTCGTATTTATGTTGATGCTTGCAGACTAACTACTTAAAGCAAACAGAAAGAGGCTCACACACTAAGACTCAATTACCTCAAGCTGACTCCCACCCAGGTCGACATGAGCTTCCACTTTATGCATCTTCCATCCCTAGGTATTGCTGGACAAGTTAACTGTGAGCTCACCCTCCCTATCACAGTAAAGCACCCACCAAACTGTGGAGGCAGAAGGAACGCTTGGACGGTGTGGGATGGGCATTAGAGAGTATTCATTTTCTGGGGGAGTGATAACTGTGAGTAAATAAACTTCTCCTCCTACTTGGTCCCCTCACAGGAGGTGCATTCTTCCAGAAGCTGCTGTCCACAAGGAGAGGGCAGGCTACTGCTGACATCCACATAATTGTCAAAGTAGTGGACCAGACACCAAGCAGCATTTCTCAGGAGATGGCACCAATCCACCTTGCTAAAAGTTCACTTCTGCATTTCTATCCCCAACACTTACAGACGACTT